TATCATCCTAATGCGAGAATCGCATTTCAGTTTTTTAAAGGCTTCAGCTGTGCCCGTCTGAATAAAAAGCAATTACATGTAAAAATAATATTTCCCAATTGTTAAAAAAGATGTAATTTTTCACAATTATGTTGAAGTTTCAATAGTATTAATCCTGTGAGACTTTTAATGGAAATTTGAGTTGATATAATCTTTTAAAGCTTTTCTCTCATGTGTTCTTTGTTAGAAGGAGGAGATGAGCCAGTGAAAGTTCACGATGTGGGTGATGGTGTGTTTGAATGTGAATATTATCCTGTTGTTCCGGGTAAATACACCGTCAGCATCACCTGGGGAGGGTACGCCATCCCAAGGAGGTAAATGTGCCCTTTTGAAATTAGCAGTATGAAAATGAGCTGTAGTCTCAACAGAGTACAAATTACAGGGACATTTTTATATAATAACAAATTCAATTAACACCCATTTCATTGTGTTTTGAGTTCATAGTTACATATAGTCTTTATAACTGTATAGACATTCTTCGTTCATTAAGCCAAAAAAAATGACTTTACAAAGTTTGATTTACTTATTTGATTGGACAAATACTGTAAGTTATACATTTTGAAAGTCAAAAGCTATGTGGCCCCTTTATGTATTTGTGTGCTCTAAAGAGAGATGCTTCTGATACAGAGTCAGTAAAATGGCGACTGTGCATGTGCTAATTTGTGTCTACCCTGTTTCTACTCACCAGCCCTTTCGAGGTTTTGGTGAGTGAGGAGCCTGGACTGCAGAAGGTGCGTGCCTGGGGCCCTGGGCTGGAGACTGGAATGGTGGGCAAGTCAGCAGACTTTGTTGTAGAGGCCATTGGGACTGAAGTGGGGACTCTCGGTAAGTCGTTGCAGCCGAGTCAGTTACGTAGGAGGCAGGATACACATTCGCTGGTAAAGAATAATTGTGTGACAAAACAATCGTCAGGGAACAAATCAGTATGCCATAGCTCGGTCATATTACACATTTGTCCAAAATGGAAATGTTGGTGGAAAACTGGAAAAAGAAGCTAAATGAAAGAGCACCCCTGAATCTGCAATACACAATATTTTTAGGATTAAAATGGAATGTTCAAAATGTATCATGGAAAGAATGTGCTAGCTAATATCCTGACATACAGTATCATTTCTTTAAACAAATATATAACAGCTTTAAACATATTAAAATATAAGTGTTTATAAGACCTTTCTCACTTAGATTCATGAAACTTCTGAGTTGAGTTTTAAAGTTTTTAAGTTTATTGGCAGTTTCTTCTCTGCAGGTTTAACATTTGCTGATGACATTGATGCAGTTTTTTGCCACCTTTATCTTATAAAATAGCATTTAATTGAAGGCAGCAATAACAGCATTATGCTGTGGATAGCTTAACGCAAGCATGGTGATCTGTTTTTTTATTATTTTTTTCATTAGTTCATTTAAGGGTTTAGTTAAACAAACACATTCATTTCTCTTTTTATATTCTGGCAAAATTACTATTCCTCCTACTGAGATTCCTTTCTTGTGTTGCCTCCCCTGCCTGTCTGCAGAGATTTTAATTGTTAGCAGTTGAGAAAAACAAATACAGGCACATAGCTGGATACTAGGCCTCTGAGCACTAAGTCTAGGGCTTCCTTCAACTCCCCCCAGAAACTGACAAGATGGAATAAATAACAGAACCTCTGGGGATTATCTACAGTAGGTCTTCTACTCACATTAAAAAAGGATGGTGTTGAAAGTAAGTTTCAGGGCAAAATTAAGTCATTGTGCATGGTGAGATGCATTAAAAATGCAACAAATGCTATTAGTAATATTTTTCGTTCAAGATAATCCCCTTCCTATGGCTAATATATGGCATAATTTCTCATGCTACAAGATTCCAATCTTCTTCTTAGAAGACAGATGGATTACATGAGGCATTATCTTGAAAGATTACCTATTCCAGCTGTAAATGACAGGATTGAATTTGTACTCGTTCCAGGTTTCTCGATTGAGGGTCCCTCTCAGGCTAAGATCGAATGTGATGATAAAGGTGATGGGTCTTGTGATGTGCGCTACTGGCCAACAGAACCTGGTGATTATGCTGTCCATGTCATTTGTGATGATGAAGACATCAAGGACAGTCCCTTCATGGCCCACATCCTCCCTGCTGCCAATGATGTCTTCCCTGAGAAAGTAAGCCTGCAGTTTTTTCCACATCCCATTAAATAAAATGCTACAAGTCTATGGCTTGCAAAACCTAAGGAGAACAGTCCCGGGTTATTAAGTTCGCAGAACTGATTACATTGTTTATTGTTGATGACAAACTGTAGTTCATATTTTTTCTAATTGTCCTGAAATTTAAATCTATCTCATTCTAGTCACTTCATAATTTATTGTTTTTCCCTGGAAAGACATGTCTCATTGTTATTTTTGTTTATGCAGGTAAAAGCCTCTGGACCAGGCCTGGAGCCTACAGGCTGCATTGTTAACAAGTCTGCAGAATTCACTATTGATGCTCGTGGAGCTGGGAAAGCAGAACTCAAGATCTATGCCCAGGTACTTGAAAAAAAAAACGATTTAACTTTATGGTGTTTCGATTTAATTACAGTTCTAATTGAAAATTAAAAGCATTTTTGTAACAGAACTGTATGTTGTTTTTTTATACAGGATGCAGAGGGGTTCCCCATTGATATCCAGATCACTGATAACGGAGATAACACTTTCTTCTGTGTTTATATCCCAACAAAACCAATAAAGCACACTATCATTATCACCTGGGGAGATGTTAATATCCCCAACAGTCCCTTTAGGGTAAGAGATACTGTCAGAAAGATAAAGTGGCTATATATCTGATCCTTCTGTTAAACGTTTGTACTGGGTTTTCAATTAAATAATAGATTCAATAGACATTTTAATAAGGGTTTCAGAATATCTATAATATATGTTATTTAAAATAATTATTTAATTATTATTAATTAATATTAATTAAATTTTTAACATACATAAAAATAATGTGCTGTATAAGAAGTTATACTAAGAAAAATTACCACATTATATTCTTATCCAGATGTTCGCTTTTGGTTTATTTCCATACATATTGACTTCCTGCAGGTGAACATTGGAGAAGGCAGTCACCCAGAAAATGTTAAAGTGTATGGACCAGGAATTGAGAAAACAGGTCTGAAAGCCAATGAGCCTACTTACTTCACAGTGGACTGCAGTGAGGCTGGTCAGGGTAAGAGAGGGCCATAACTTTTCAACAATTTATAGGTAAAATCGATGGTGAGAAAATTAGTGACATAAAATCCATATTTTGGTGTTTTTCAGGTGATGTGAGCATTGGCATCAAGTGTGCTCCTGGTGTTGTTGGTCCTGCTGAGGCAGACATTGACTTTGACATCATTAAGAATGACAATGATACCTTCACTGTGAAATACACCCCACCTGGAGCCGGACGGTACACTATCATGGTGCTGTTTGCAGATCAGGTATTTCAATACTGGAGAAAACTTCATTTGTGAAAAATGTACCAATTATTCAAGTTATTTTTATCTAGAATAAGATAAGTTACAGCCTACATAGGATGCCCTCTATCACAAATCATATTTTTCTATTTTGTTTTTTAAAGGCATTCATAAAATATTTGATCTCATATTTTTCTTAACCACGTTCCTTAAAATCCTAGGAAATTCCCATCAGCCCCTTCCGTATTAAAGTTGATCCTTCCCATGATGCTGCCAAGGTGAGGGCAGAAGGCCCTGGACTGAACAGAACAGGTAATGCCTGATAGTAATTTCAGATATATTGATTTTTAGTTGATAGACACATTGATCAATTTGTGCATAATCATTTTAATAACCTGTGAAGGTGTCTAGAGTGCACACTGGTAAGATATAGTTGAAACATATCTCATTCAAGGACTTTTGGCTTATTTTTAGGTAAATGTACCTGATAGTTTGTATCTTTTGGGCTTTTTAAATAACTCTGCAGGTGTGGAAGTGGGCAAGCCAACACATTTCACAGTTTATACCAAGGGGGCTGGCAAAGCCAAACTGGATGTCCATTTCACGGGGGCTGTTAAAGGAGAAGCTGTACGGGACTTTGAGATTATTGATAATCATGACTACTCTTACACTGTGAGGTACACTGCAGTTCAACAGGTAGGAGATTCATCATTATTAATTATTGATTTGTAGGTAACAGGCTGACTTCATGGATTTATTAATGTTTTTATATGAAACTAAGGTGCATTTGTTTGAGTAGTCTGTTACAGTATATATCTAACAAGACCAACTTGTTCTCCTTGAGTAACTGCTGTTTTTTTTATTTCCTGGCTCTGATGATTTGCTCTCTTCACAGGGAAATCTGACCATCTCAGTTACCTATGGTGGAGATCCTATTCCTAAAAGTCCCTTCACTATTACTGTGGCACCACCTTTAGATCTCAACAAGGTCAAAGTGCAAGGGCTGAATAACAGTGAGTATGCATTGTGTATGAAATGACTGGACTGACATTCTCTCAAAGTAGGTCCTGTGATGTTTGCCACTGGCCAATGGAACCTGGTGATTCTGTTTAATTTAATGAGCCAAACAATGCCTTTAGATATGGGATATGCTGTTTTATTTTGTGAAGACACAGGTTTTTAAAGGTTATCAGCTTAGTAAATATAATTGTAATTTCTAAAGACTGTTTGGATTAAATATTTGAGCCAACGGCCAGCATACTCCTTTATTGTTCTCCAATTAAGCGTCTGTTGCTCAGTGAAAAGCAAAACTTTTGGAAATCACTTTCTGTTTTTGGATTTTGCTTTTCAAAAACTAAAAGAAAGATATTGTTTAGAATGGAGAATGGTAAAAACGGGGGAAAAAAGCAGGTTTAAGACCACATTAAGATGGACACCAGACACCATAAGCCTCTATCTTTATGTTTTTTTTAATTAGAAGTGGATGTAGGAAAGGATCAGGAGTTTTCGATCAACACCCGTGGCGCAGGAGGACAGGGCAAGGTGGACGTGAAGATCACCTCCCCCTCCCGCCGGCCCATCCCCTGCAAGGTGGAGACTGGCACCGCCAACGACCTGCACTCCGTCAAGTACATGCCCCCAGAGGAGGGGCCCTACAAGGTGGAGGTCAGCTATGATGGGAACCCCGTGCCAGGGAGCCCCTTCACCGTGGAGGGGGTCATGCCCCCTGACCCCTCTAAGGTAGACATAAATCTACTCCCGGTATTATTCAGAGCTATTTTTTTCTTTCGTTTTTTACGAGCTTCGGTTGTAGTCTTCTATGGGTAACCTGTTTTGCTACAGAATCCAAAATGGCAATATTACAAAAATACCACCAACAAAAGGGTTTGAGATAAACAATAATTCAGAAAATAAAAGAAGTGTTTACATTATTTATAAGTGAAATTGCTGAAGGGATAAACAATTTGATAAGTCTATTTCTGTTACACCTTGGGGCACAGAGGCGTCTCCTAGATGGGATTAGTGCAAATTCACAGTGGAAGGGGTGTGACACACAATCCATAATGCTGTTAGCCTTCTTTTAAACCCTATTTTTGTAGAGAGAATTACAGTTGATCTGTTTTACCCCAATGATTTAGCTACTCATGTTCACAATTTTACCTAACCTACTAAATCTGCAGAAGTGATGTCATTTGGAGCTGTCTGTGTGGTAAATACTGAAGTTTACGGCTATGTAAAAGCATGACTAATTTTTTTCTCCTCCTCCCTTCTAATATCTGTAATTCAGCCAGAGGATGAGTAAGTTACAGTATATGTAGATAATATATTAAAAAAAAAGTCAGCAAGGGTTCATAGAAGGTACAAGTGCCTTTATACAGAAAAAAGAAAATAATATTGCTGCAATCAAGTGCAATTTACTTTCAGCTCGGCATGAGAGCATATCTCCATTATATCCAGCTGTACCATATTATTGATTAAGAGATATCTTTGGAGAAATCCTTCATAAATTATAGCATATTAAGGGATTTGTTTTATCTCTTAAAGGGCATGTCTGCTGAGGCTGTTTTATTTGGCATTGCAACTTCTGAGGCTTTCCTAATAGAATGAATGTAGTAAAAATTGGATACGTTTACATTCTGGATGAGGACATGATCAACATTTTCTGAATCTCTGGTCTTTACATACCTGAACATCCTCTGTTTGTCATTCAATCCAAAAGGATAGTTTCTTAATAGACGGAGGGTCTCCCTGCCTTAGATAAGGTTTCTTTTGTTTGGCCTCACAACAAAAAGGTCTTCCCCTTTTAATTGAAATAGTCTGCCACGTGCTGTATTGGTTCTGAGGCTAAATCCTTTGAGATGACTTTAAAGCCACCTCGAGAATTCTGTTTTCCAGGTGCGCGCATATGGTCCCGGTCTGAAGGGAGGAATTGTGGGCAAGCCGGCTCCCTTTGCCATTGACACTAAAGGAGCTGGCACTGGTGGACTTGGGCTAACAGTGGAGGGGCCTTGTGAAGCAAAAATCGAGTGCCAGGATAATGGCGATGGCTCCTGCTCTGTGTCCTACTTGCCTACTGAACCTGGCGAATACTCCATCAACATCCTTTTTGCAGAAGCTCATATTCCAGGGTCTCCTTTCAAAGCAGCCATCAAGCCCGTGTTTGACCCCAGCAAGGTGACAGCCAGTGGGCCAGGTCTTGAGCGAGGCAAGGTCAACGAGGCTGGGTCGTTCACTGTAGACTGCTCCAAGGCTGGTGATGCTGAGCTGACCATCGAGATCATATCGGATTCTGGTGCCAAGGCGGAGGTCCACATTCAGAACAACAGCGATGGGACATATTCCATCACATACATACCTCCCTTCCATGGAATGTACACTATCACCATCAAATATGGAGGACACTCAGTGCCCAAATTCCCTGCCCGTGTCCAGGTGGACCCAGCAGTCGATACGAGTGGAATTAAGGTTTATGGACCAGGAATTGAGCCACGAGGTAAGTAAGGCTGCTTAGAACTGCTAAAATCAGTCATTAAAAAGGTCTTTAAGGACCACTTAATTCATCGGTGAATTATTTGGAAGGAATCCCCCAATGCCAGAAACACCATCTGTAACATAACACAGAAGGCAGTTCTTTGTTCTTTATTTATACAGTAATGCTGTTATGAGTGTTATATGACTTTATTCTGGAATACTCCCTTTGTTGGGTAGCTCTCCACTGATTTTCCCCACAAAAGTTAAAATGTACTACTCTCTTTCAATTAGTAACTATAATGAAAAACAGCATTAAGTAAAGCATTTTTAGTGTATTATGTCACTTTAATCCATGTCCATGTGCTATTAATCTTGAAATCTCAAGAGCCCTAAATTCATTAAGTGATCCATGTGTGGTGAATATAATCACTCTGATGTCATTTTGTATCCTCAGATAGGATATTCACTCACTTTATTTGGCAAATAAAAACAAGCTAGAATAAGCTGTATTATACTGGCTGCGATTCAGCACAGTTAACAGAATTTGCTGAAATGAGGCCTACGATTTTCCATCATAACATCAGTGCAGCTGTGTTAGAGATGGAGTAGTGGGCTGTAGATTGCAAGCCAGTTTTAATTCAGTAGTCTTGTATTACCACCACATTTTCTTTGGTTCTATGGAGGGTGGGGAGGAGAGATTAAACATAATTTTAATCTTTAGCTGTCTAACAGTCAGAAAAACAAACATACAGTATAAGAAAAAAACATTTCTATAGCAACAATAAATATTTTAAGGCATTCAAAAAGTCCAGATTGCAATACCCATAACAATATGCAGTATACAGTATGTAGTTAATCTAGCAGTGTTGCAGTAAATGAGGCTTTACCCATAATAACCAACTGAAATAGTTTAGGAAGCATAAGATTTTAATAGATGTGTAGTTATACAACTTAAAAGTGAATTAATAACCATGACATGCTGAATAAGCCTTTAAACTTATACAACAATGGTCTCTGTGAGTCAGTCTGAGAAGTATAAGCAACAGACCGTGCAGATGTCTGGCACAGTGCCCTGCTGTTGTTGCAGCTAGGTTGATATAAAGGTTACCATTTTGCACTCTGCAGCTATTATTATCCCTCTTTTAAAATGGAATACCCTGTTTTCCTCAATGATGTAATAGAATGCATCCTGGTTTTATTAAGCTCAATATCAGATGTAGTTCCTTGTTTTGTGCCAATTTTAAGAACTTCTTAGTAGTGTATTAAATATTTATTGAATGTATTTTATTATAATCCTACATTCCATTTAGTGTATTTATTGCTTTTTTACTGGCAAAAGTAAAATTGGAAATAAGCAGAAAGATGTAGAATTCAATAAAAAAAGCTTCCTGCCTAAGCTTATTTTCTTCGAAATGACAACAATCACTTGACGTATTTGTGTTTGCAGGGGTCCTCCGTGAAGTTACTACACACTTCATTGTTGATGTCCGGACACTGAACAAGACTGGAGGCAACCATGTGAAAGCAAGGATTGTAAACCCTTCTGGAGCCAAAACAGATGCCTACATCACTGATAAAGGGGATGGGACCTACAGGGTAGAATATACTGCATATGAAGATGGTAAGGCAAAATATACACTACTGAAAGCATGAATTTGAAACACGGATTTATGTCCAATGGTGTACATACATGTAGACATAAAAAACTAGATAGGTTTTTTATGACAGAGTATAATCATAGAAGCAATTTCATGATTCACGGTTTACTCATATCAAAATTATTATACACAATACATCAGCTATCTTCAATTAAATTGGGAATGATAAAACTCGTGGAGTGTTTGTGTTGTCTTAGGCTTTAGCTTGCACAGACAAGCTAGTCTGTATAGTATCTTGACACATACAGTATCTGTACTGTATAAGAGTGTAACAGAGATACATTTTAGAAAGAAATATAGAAAAAATTAAAACCAAATTTCATGTTTGCTGAATGTATCTGGCTTCATGTTTTTAACAGACCTGGTGCATGTAAACACGCCAATATCTTTTCATCCTTAAACTGAACCTGCCTCAAAGGGTTAGGGTATATAAGGTCCTGGCTGTTCACAGACAGCTTCAGTGACATGGACTGTGTGAAAAATGCATCACTGACATTTCTTTTTGATCTGGCAGGAGATTGGCCGTGTCCCACACCTACTAGTTGCCACACAGCCTTGACACTGAACAATAGAGTGGGATCATTTGGGAAGCAAAAGAGATGCGACCTGGCCATGAGCCCAGCTAGTGCTCTAAGTACACTGGGCAAGCTTGGCAATAGCGGTCAATATTTTAGAGCTGTGGTGTCCAGTCCTGGTCCTGAATGCCTGGGGTGTCTGGTGGTTTTCAAGGACTCTTTGAGTTCACAAAATAGGTCCAGTTAATCCAGACATCAGCTGTCTTAGATAGTTAAAAACTGAGCAGGAATGCAAAACACACCAGTCATCCAGGGCTAGGGTTGGACAGACCTGTTTTAGAGCTATTAGCTTTGTTTTCTTTATGGTTAGTATATTTCTAAAATTGGTTTTAATTTCTACAGCTTATGTGCAAATGCCATATTGTAATAACAGGTTATGAAATGCAAAATTGTCAGAACTGTACCTGCTGTTCCCACAATTAACTAATACTGAGTACAACAGGTTTCTCTTTTCTCACAGACTCCTTTTAACTACTGCTTAATCATAAAGTCTTAGGAAAATCTTCATTTACATAATGTATATACTGTATGTGGCATGTGAATGTAAATATCACTGACCGGTGATATTTTATTTCTTTGGTTCATATACTACTTCTTTAATTTTATTGAAAAATCACAAAAACAAGTGCTTCAGAGAGGAGACGTTGAAATAGATATTAAGACATGCACTTCTACTGTGTAGAAAAAGTCCTTTTATCTGTGCTTTCCCTGTGATAGACGATTGGAACTTTACCACACAATTGCTTAAAACAACAAAAAAACACCCATTTCAAAAAGATTAAATGTATTTTAATAAGGGCAGGGGAAGGTTGCATTTTCAAGAACATTTTAAAGGAATGTGAGTTTTTCTTTCTAAGATTCTTTTTGTGAACACTTCTTTTATTTCTTTTATTTCTTTTATTTAAAACGTCTATCTGCTTTCCTTCTTAGCCATTGAGACATTTGCTGATCAAATTATATTACAGTGAAAAACAGTAATACATTTTGCAAGATCAGAGCCTCCATATACGGTCATGCAATTTAAGAGACAAGGGGCAGTTACAGTTTCACGTTGGGGAGGTGGTATAAATAGCCAGTGAATCAGAACACATGTTTAAACACTGACAAGGATTTCTGTTATGCTATGGCAATAGTCTGGCAAAAATATATTCTGGAATAGTTTCTAAAGTACTGGAACTTCAATGATATAAATAGATAATAACTCAAAGCAGCTGGTGTTGAAGTGGTTCATTTCACAGGTTTAAATGACTGTTAATATCCCTCCCATTATAGGCAATATTGGTCATGAATTCAAATGCACATACAGTACCCAGATGATCACGTTTGTGGGCTTTGTGTTTGCTCTGCCTTATCTCCAGGTATACACCTGATTGAGGTGCTGTATGATGATGTTGCTGTTCCTAAGAGTCCCTTCAGAGTGGCTATTGCAGAGGGATGTGATCCTTCACGTGTCAGAGCCTATGGGCCGGGTCTGGAAGGAGGCCTTGTTAACAAGCCCAACCGCTTCACAGTCGAAACCAGGTACATTTTGAAATACTTACAATTTGTACTTAGGACAACACATGTTGAAAATTGTCATTATGTTGACAAAAACATATCTTATTTTCTTTTGGAAAACAAATTGAAATGCAAAATAAGTCCCAGATGTCCCAAATTACTTTTAATTTGTAAATAAGAAGAGTTACAAATGAGGGGAGATCTACCAAAATCGAATTTAACCTAAATATATTGAGGTTTCCTATAATTAGCAGGTGACATTTTTAAGAAACTCAAATTGGTGAATCTGCTGTTTTGCCTTTCAGGGGTGCTGGGACTGGTGGACTGGGCTTGGCTATTGAAGGTCCATCTGAAGCCAAAATGTCTTGTAAAGACAACAAAGATGGCAGCTGTAGTGTGGAGTACATACCTTTCACACCAGGAGACTATGATGTCAACATTACTTTTGGGGGACGCCCAATTCCAGGTAACAATTCACTGACACTTTAGTTTGGAATTTTGCTTTGCACTCAGTTCCGGAGCTGGGATGCTACTGTATGTGCATGGAGTTTGTATGCTCTTCCTGTGCTCATGTGGGTTTTTGCCAGGTGCTCAGGTTTCCTCCCACAGTCAGATTTATTGGTAGGTTAATTGGCTTCTTGGACAATTGCCCCTGTGCTGTGTGTTTGTGTCTGTGTGTCCTGTACTGGACTGGTGTCCTGTCCAGGGTGTATCCCCCTTGTGCCTGTTGCTTGCTTGTTTTATCTCTGGCTCCCCTGCGACCCTGAATTAGATTAAATGGTTTGAACATGGATGGATAGACGGAGTTACACGTTATGCAGTAAATAAGATGACATAGGTTGTTTATACTAAATCCTATTATAATAGTATGTTTGTTAAGGAATTTATCCTGCTGGTTTCTGCAGGATACTTTAGGTTAGTTTTCCGCCTTTATCTATCCATCTTTTCTATCCTCTCTTTGGAATCCTAAGGCTTCAAACATTGCTCTTTTCTTGTCCTGCAGGCAGTCCTTTCCGAGTGCCTGTTAAGGAGGTGGTTGATCCCAGCAAAGTGAAGTGCTCAGGCCCTGGATTGGGCACTGGGGTGAGAGCTCACATTCCACAGACGTTCACTGTGGACAGCAGCAAAGCAGGCCTGGCTCCACTTGAGGTTCTCTTGTTTGGGCCTGCAGGTCAGTGGAAAAATGCTTATTGTGCAGCAGGGTGCAATTAATAAGAACCCTTATCTTGTAAGAATGTGAATATGATTTCTGTTTTCTGATGGTACCCTTGCAGGAGTGGCAGAGCCTGTCAATATCAAAGATAATGGAGATGGGACACACACTGTTAATTATACTCCTGCCATGGATGGGCCATATACTATCTCAGTCAAGTATGCTGATCAGGAGGTGCCACGCAGGTAAGCACCAGAGATTGCACTAATATATAGACATACCTTCATCTCAATATAAATGTGAGGAGAACTTCTCATTTAAATCAATACTTCAGCAATAAGTTGCATAAAGCTCTGTTAAATGTAGCTGCAATTCAGTTTCTGTTTAAGAAAAAGGAAGACTGGTATTAAAAAAAACTAAATGATGGTTTGCATTGTTAGGGAGCACTGAAATCCAACATGGTTTTCTACCTGAAAAGCTTTTGATTGTGTTACAAACAATGGCATGTCAATTTAGTCCTTCACTCTTGTTTAAAAATACTGTTGTATTAATGTAAGAATATATTTTTTACAGCCCATTTAAGATTAAAGTTTTGCCCACTCATGATGCCAGCAAAGTCCGTGCCAGCGGTCCAGGACTCAATGCCTCAGGAGTGCCCGCCAGTTTGCCTGTGGAGTTCACTATAGATGCCAGAGATGCTGGTGAAGGTCTTCTTACTGTTCAGATTCTTGTAAGTAGAATCACATAAAAAATATTTCACTGTTTGACAAAAACAAAATATTTGGTGTCTGGACAGACACAATCCACAACAATGTCAGTTCATATCTTAATTTTCATCCTATAATTTTAACTCTTCTAGTACTTACTGTAGGTAAGTTAGCTTAACTCTGTTTACCTTGAAATATATCTACTCCTTACTGCTTGTAGCATGTGATACATTGACTGATTTGAGTTCCATCATGAGATGATGGCCTTCCATGAAGAGGTAGGTCCAGCTAGAGCCATGGTGAGTTCCAAGGATCCCTTTCACCTCTGGAGCTAAATAAGTTGGATAATATGACGTATCTACCTGTTGCTCGTAGGACCCTGAAGGCCGCAAGCAGGAGGCCTCAGTTTTTGTGGAGGACTGGAAGAGGAGGGTTTGGGAGAAACGTATTCCAAAGAAAACCATCCCTTCTCCTACTCATAAAAAAAGCTGTGTAAGCAGCTCTTCCACCAGTCCCTGTGTCACCTCATTCTGTCTTCAGTCTTCCTTGCCTCTCAGTTGCTTCCTTGTGTACCATGTGGATAAGTGTGAGGGGAAAACGATTGTCCCAGACAGTGGTGGTCAACTACACACACCTTGAGTTTTAGGAAAACTGGTGCCTAGCTGAATAGTGTACGAAAGTAGAACCTACATTGAACAGTATATTGTCTGTCAAAATTTATGGCAACTGTTTAAATTTGGAACAGACATTTGGTCTTCCATCTGCTCAGTAAGGCAGTCAAGATGAGTGTATGCCTAATGTCTGATACACAATCACAGATGTCATTCTGCACTTGTAGGGCAACATTGTGAGTTGGCCATCACTAATTTATACAACAGAAGACTTGCATTTTAAAACCAAAACTAATCATCCAAGGCATGGGGAATGGCCCTTTTTTGTAGCAATACTAATCTGTGCCAATTCTGTTAATAGAATTTATATCACTTGGGAAACCAAAAGTACTGTACATGCATTTCAATGATGCATTTGTTATAATTTAGAAAGAAAAGTAATTACTGTAAGTAGTACTGTATATTTTTTTGTGTATGCCATGTAGTTCAGCTATGCATCCCTTCTTTAATAAAGTGGAGTTGTCTTTTGATAAACAGAGAAACATACAGTAATACATGCAACGCTTTTATAGCCAGCTATAAAGTGTTTGTACAAAAAAAACGTTTTTTTTTTCTGAATGTTCAATGTCTGAATATTTAAAATTCATATGCTTACAGATAAAGTAAATTTAAAGTGCATCTCAGAAATAAAGAACTTTTTTTGGGGGGGTTCAGTCTTGGCAATAACAGGGATTTGGATGTAAAATTGCACATTTTCCTTAGAGATATCAGTAGAGAAGATACACACGAATCAATAAACACTTCAATCCCCTTTTGCAATTAAAAACAAGAAATGGTATGCTGTAATTTCTAAGTTAATATTCTTCTCCTAGTCTTTGTGGACTGACACTCATGAGGTTCAACTAATTTTCTGATTGCTGTTTGAAGTACATGACTAACACTGAGCAAATGTTAACTAGCTTTGACACAGACCCACCCATCTTTTGGGTCATGATAAAACCAGAGAGTCTCAGAGACATAGGGGTGCATAGGGGGACTTCAGCCTGGACTGCCAGTGCTTCACAATATGCTGACACACAGGGACAATGTAGAATTTGGAAGGTGGAAGGAAACTGGAACACCTGGAGAAAATCCAAGTAAATACAGGAAGAACTGCAAACTCAGACAGCTGGGCCTCTTAAATTGTACATTACACTGGTTTAATTAGGTTCAGTTAAGCTAGAAAATTGCTATTGATCTGACATATTTGCCCACTATGAATAATTTGTTCTTGATTGCTATAAAAGCTTCTCACTAGCTGCAATTGCAAAACATTTACATTTTTATATTTTGTAGGATATCTGTAGAATAATATTTTGCTAAGTCCCCAGCACATTTTCCAAACAAAAGTGTATGTATGTATGAGAGATGTATGTGTCTACAATTGTAACATGTACATTCCAGTGCTCCAGAGAAAATACAAGAGTTAGCAAAAATGTGTTCTCATGTCACCAAATATACACATTCAACATCACAACTTTCCATGTGTAACATTATCATCAACTGATACTGTACTTTACAAAGAAGCTGTGCAGGCTTCACAGTGTTTAAAAAACAAATCCTTGTTTTGTTCTATACTGTACATGTACTGTAGCAGGATTGAAAGTTATCCTGTTGTATTGATGATATTACATTGATATTACTGTCCTGTATCTTGGTTGTGTAGTTGAGATCTTTAAGTGTGTTGTATTGTCAATGGAAATTTAACAACAGAGAAGAACTGAATTCTGCTTGGGGTTAGGTACTTTTTGAAACTTATCAGTCAGAAAGTGTGAATGTGTGATGTAGTAAAATATTCAACACTATATAAATATACAGTACATACTAATGTTTTGTACTCAACACTCATACACACAAACTATAAATATTCTTATCTATTTAGGACCCAGAAGGGAAACCCAAAAAAGCTAACATCCGTGACAATGGAGATGGAACCTATACTGTATCATATGTGCCTGACATGACTGGTCGCTACACCATTACCATCAAATATGGCGGAGATGAGATTCCCTACTCTCCCTACCGCATTCATGCCCTGCCAACTGGAGATGCCAGCAAGTGTTTGGTTACAGGTCAGTTACAAAGTCTATTTACATGTACCGTACAGTTATAAACACACTTAACAGCTTTGTTATGCTTTTACAGTGGAAATGACACTATCACACCTTGAAAAACCAGTTAGATGATTTATCCATTATATCTAAAATTGTTTTTCTTTTTGCAGTATCCATTGGGGGACATGGTTTGGGTAAGCAACATTTTTTTCTATTTCAGTTCCATAAGGTGAATGCAGCTGTAGAGATTACAAAGAGCAGTTTGTAGAGGCTAACCAGATAAAAAAAAGATGGTGAGACATGCTTTGCCTGGCAGCCTTAATTTTTCTAAACATCTTTTCACAATAGGTACAGGCCTTGGACCCACAATTCAGATTGGAGAGGAGACTGTGATCACAGTTGATGCAAAGGCTGCTGGGAAGGGAAAAGTTACCTGTAAGGTGTCAACCCCCGATGGTGCAGAACTGGATGTTGATGTTGTGGAGAACTCTGATGGCACTTTTGATATTTATTACACTGCTCCTGAACCAGGCAAATATGTTATTACTATCCGCTTCGGAGGGGAGCACATTCCTAATAGCCCGTTCCATGTTGTGGTAGGTGCTTTCTTTGGTCTCTTCCATGGGGATACAATCATTTGTTGCCCAGTATCAATATTAAATTTAACAGAAAAGGCTGGTGGAAAGTAATGAGGATATTTAGATTTCTGGATTTTGCAAATAGAAGCAAGGCTTCTGTCAATGAAAAAAAAAACATTTTTGTACTAGTGCTTAAGGAGTTCAACCTTCAGATTTGTGTGTTCAAATGTGAAGCAGGTTTTATAGTAATGGAATAAGTAATTTTGATACGTTAGTTTTGTCCTGAGTAATGATGATTTAGAGCCCTTTCAAATTTTAATATGTAGAGGAAATGCTTAATTTGTTCCAGATGTCTGCTTTTCTAACTTGTGCTAGTTTTTTTTATGGAGGATGTTTTATGTGTTAGTAAAGCTGAAGCATATCTTGGGTCATGAATGCCTTTCTTATAACGTAAAAGGAACAATACATTTCATATCACGTAATGATATGACAATTGGAGAAATACAGTATGACTTGTTTTTGTTGTTTTTACATTTGACATTTTTTCGTAAACATAATTAAACCCATAAATGTTCAGTTAAATTATGTGGGAGGCAAACTGAATCTGTATATTCTGATTTTACAATTGGTAGAAGAAAGAAAACAATTGCATGGCTGTCGTGCACTAGTCTATTTATAATGGTTTTAACATTGTACAATTGTTTTTTTTTGTGCATGATAACATTGTTCTGAATTTGTAACTTACCTTCCGCTAGGCGTGTGATACCATTCCCATAATTGAAGAGCCATGTGATATGCTGCAGTTACACCAGCCCTACGCATCCTACCACACTGGCTATCCATCACACTGGGTATAACAATTACACTGGAGAAACAGCTATCTCAGCTCTGAGAAATACCCTCTTTTTTGTTTCACAGGACAGCATGGATTACTCTGAAGAAAGATAAAAGCACAAATGCATTTACTAGTAACTTGCAGTATATTCTCAGTGCAATATGCTCTGAACTACAGTGCAAGTAGTTATAACCTGTTACCAGAAAACTGGCAGAAGAAACCTACAGCATGCATTGGGTTGAAAAACCATTTGAAAATGTATCCCTGTAGTCCCCTTCAAATTAGTTTTCTGGTTATTAGATAAAATGCTACAAATGTAATGCTTAAGGGACAAGCTTACAAATTATTTTTCACCCTCTGGTGCTTGAATATTTTGATATTCTTAGATTTGCCACTCATAAGGCAGCTACCTTTGCCAGACTAGTGTAATGAAGCCACAGAGGGTATATCTTCCAAGACCTTTTCAGTTCATTAACACAATTTCCCTCTTTTCACTCACTCATTCACTTCCTCTTTCATTAAAAAGTCATTAAATTCTTCACAAGTCAGTGTACAACATTGTCAATCACACCATCACCATAACCCTGTGATCTCAGTCTAACCAGATATCTGATAAGGCTATTGAAGGCATTGTAGGAATGTGTCAAAATTATCTATTAAGGAGTACATATATATATATATTATGTATATCAATAGGTCCTTTATTATTATATATAAAGGAGTAGGCCATTGGTGTATATTTTAAATTTGCCTACCTTAAAATAATATATTACATAAAGAATAGAAATATGATTTATTTGGAGAACTTATCACTGTTTAGTCCTATTGCATGATTATTACTAAAAATAAAGCACTGCTTTTATTATACTGATAGTATTGTTAATTTAATTTAAATTTGAATGCAACAATCCTCATGTGCTTCCTTGCAGAATGTGTTTTCAAGGACCTGTCCTAGTATAATTAAAAGATTTGTAGCTGCAATTAACAGATATCTGAATAAGCTGTTGTCTCAATGTCAACCAATGTCAGTATGTTGATTTTTTCCCCCCATTTCTTTTCTGAGTGTAATCCTCATTTTTAATGTGTGCATGGCTCGTTGTACAGTGTATTCACTCCTTTCCTTGCAGCTCTTCTTCTTTCTTCCAAGACAGGCTCAAGCAGCCTGGATCATCTATACTCATGCCCAAACTCATCTTTGATGTCTTTTCCTTATAACAGTCTTCTCTGATTCCTGTCTTTATGCCTCTATCTCTCTTACCTATTACATCACTTGATGTTTGTTATTCCTTCTCCCAGGCAACAGAAGAGCCCATTGCACCTGTTGATGACATGGAGCCAGCTCTTAGACCCTTCAACTTAGTTATCCCTTTCACTGTCCAGAAAGGTGAAATAACAGGTAAGTCCCCAGTGAAACCTGGACACGTGGTGCTGAGAGACATGCATGAGGCAATGCAATGGACAAGATGCTCAGTGTCAGACCAAATAAGAAAACCCATTGATGTTTCCAGATGACATGTACTGTACTGTATGTATAGTAGATGGCAAGTATTGACAATCATGCTTTTGTAATTCGTAGTTGGCATTTGAGATGCACAACAAAGTCACGAATAAAACCTACATTTTCTGTCCATTTTTTCATGTTAAAGTGTGCTGATGATTAAAAAAGACTAAAGATTAAACGTTTTATGCCAGTTGATGGCAAATGGTGTTTGCCAAATAAAAGCAAACTCTGAAGCTCATGTATTATATAGAAGTCAACAGTGTGTTTTTTCTTTCTTGTATTTTAATAGTAGACTTCTATCATTTTAGGTGAGGTTCGGATGCCCTCAGGCAAGACAGCCCATCCTAATATCACTGATAACAAGGATGGTACTGTCACAGTTAAATATGCTCCAACAGAGAAGGGACTGCATGAAATGGATATTAAATATGATGGAAATCATATACCAGGTAAGTAGCCAAAAACCCAAAGCATAGCCTCTTCAGGCTATGAAACAGAAACATGATTGTACATTAGCTCCTGTTACTTGTCAAAATAAGTTCTGGGCCTGGGACTGCTCTGCCATTCCCCTGTTAGTCAGTTTATTTCCCCTTGGTAGTCCTCTTCAAAAAATCTGTTAATTATATTGGTGAGAATAGTAAACCAGTTTAAAAAATTTAATAATTCAAACAAACAGGCAAACACAATATTGAAATACACTGGGAAAGCTTTAGTAATTGTGTGATGTAATTTCTTTTTCACAGGCAGCCCTCTGCAGTTCTATGTGGATGCTATTAACAGTGGCCATGTGAATGCCTATGGCCCAGGTCTCAGTCATGGAATGGTGAATAAACCAGCTACATTTACTATTGTTACTAAGGATGCTGGAGAAGGTAATGTGTTCTGGCAATAAATTATGATTAATTACTCTCTAACCTTCACATTATGACTAAATGCACATACTGGAAAAAAATGGAATGCACAAAGACAGACTCATTTAACTACAGTATGGAAAATAGAGGGCTTTTGTAGAAAAAAGCAAGGACAGTTGTATTTGATTCAGCTATCACTCAAGATCTCCATCACAGCCTTTCTTACTACTGCATGTGCAATACACTTTAAATATTTCACATAACTTTCATTGTAAGTATTTCAGTTGGTTGGTTGGCCTCGTCAGCTTTAAAATCTGTAAAAGACAATTGTAAAAGAAACTGAAAAAAGTTAGAAAAATCTTAAAGTTAGTTTATGAAGAGTATTGCTATCAGCATGCTATTCTTTTAGCCAGTTTAGAAAATCAGGCTTTGGTGATACCTGGCATTGACAGAAGAGTAATGGTATTTCATTTTGATTTGAGCAGGTGGGCTCTCTCTTGCCGTGGAAGGCCCATCTAAGGCTGAGATCACCTGCAAGGATAACAAAGATGGCACATGCACTGTGTCCTATCTCCCTACTGCACCAGGCGACTATAACATCATTGTCAAATTTGATGACAAGCACATCCCTGGGAGCCCTTTCACTGCCAAGATCACAGGTAGATGAAAAGCACTCATTAATCATAGCAAGAAGGCAACAATACACACGACAATTTAAGGGGAACCACCTGCTCCCTTAACAGATCCTCATAAGCTTTCAAATAACTTAATCTTCCACAACAGAGATCATTACTTTTTAACAACTCTCTAAGACATACACAATATGCATCAGGGTTTTAGTCAAAAATAAAGGAGAAAGAAAAAAAGACAAAAGGGGTGAAACTTACTTAAATATGGACATCATGTCTTCTGAGCTACTTTGTCAATAGCAGTGTCCCAATCTACGAAAGCAGTGATAGAGGCTGACTAAAAGCTGAGACACGTGCCTTTCTAGAAGGAACATACAGTATCAGAAAAAAATAGAAGGATCTGTCCAACTAATTAAAAAAGTCTTTGTCACTACAGTAATCCCTGTTAAGATAAATCACTTGTCAAGCATTGATAACCGATATACATCAGAGAGTAACAGAACTTCTAGGGATTTAAGGAAAATATAACCTATTATGTAGATCAACACATACCCTGCACATTTCCAAAATCCATTAATTATGGGGCACTCTCAAGACATGTAAATAAGCATCCATAACCTTGGATTTACAGAGCTGGCTGGTAGTTATTATTAACCTCATATGGACTCTCTTAAATGGAGTAACATTGGACCTGTAAATAAACTTGAAATGGATACAACAGTGTTTTTGTTTCTGGATTATGTTAAAATATTGACCCTAGATCACCTTCTAGTTTAGTGTAACATTCCACTTCATCAACTCTCCATTACAGATTTACTGTATAACACACACAAGGGGCCTTAATATTGTGGGAAAATAAATGTATATTGCTGATGCAAACCCGATTTTAATGGAAGTGCTGTATTATTAATTGGACATGAAATGAATGAAGCTTAATTTAAAATGTAGCACATGAAGATAATCTGTAAAACGTTTAGTTAAGATGGTTGTAGCTGGGGTTTTCACATAGTTGATATAATTATTTTTCTGAGCAATGTTTTGAGCTTTTTCATTTTGTATAGTTTAAAACATTAAATATTTTGCCAATTTTCTTTTACAGGAGATGATTCCATGAGAACATCACAGCTTAATGTTGGCACATCAACAGATGTCTCTTTGAAGATCACAGAGACCGATCTCAGTTCATTAACTGCCAGTATCAGAGCTCCATCTGGCAACGAAGAGCCTTGTCTTCTGAAAAGGCTGCCAAACAGGCATATTGGTGAGAAGCCTACAGAGCCGGTAGCATAAATTTGTAATCTGAAATTCAGCACCTTAATTAAGATAGCTCTTTAATATCATTATCATTACCATTATTCATACAATCCAATTAAGCCATACAAATCAAGGGAAAAACTGTCAAGCAAACTGCAAATATTTCCTTCCACTCAAGTCCTAGATATATAATGAATCATTTCATATGCATGCTATTTGTTAAAAATGTAAAAATAAAACAGGGTATTTTTTGATGGCACTTTGTATTTTTCCAAAGGTATTTCATTCACACCCAAGGAAGTGGGAGAGCATGTGGTCAGTGTGAAGAAGAATGGCAAGCATGTCACCAACAGCCCCTTCAAAATAATGGTGGGGCAGTCAGAAATTGGAGATGCCAGCAAAGTGAAGGTGTCCGGAAAGGGATTAATAGAGGGCCACACCTTTGAGGTGTCTGAGTTCATTGTGGACACAAGGAATGCAGGTATGACCACTATACAGATTTCAGCATTTTATGAAAAAAATGGCAGTTTTCAGTAATGCATATTACTGACTCCTGAAAGTGTACTCTGTGTTCCCAGGGAGCTACAGACACATTTTTTCAAATATGGTCATGGACCATACAGTATGCTGCACAAATGTTCTATTGCTTTGGAGAAGGGTATGTGTGACTCTGTCCACAGTGCTGAAACCTCTATTGGCTTAACAACACCACTGAAAAGGGTGTGGTTGTCTGGCATTACTACCACCTAAAGAATGATCACATGTTGTTGGCAGTCACCACACCTCCTTCCGTGACCCCAGTGGGCCCTTGCCTTTCATGATATTGCTCAAATGGAGCTGTCTACTGCTTGGGTCCTTGGCGCCACAGAAGGAATCTCTAGGAGAAAACTGGTCCTGCCACCATCTTCTCGTTACTGAGTTAGTTTTGCAGAATCTCTGGGGCTGGCCATGTGGGATGGGGTGGGATCAGGGCGAAGATGGGAGAGGGTTTTATTCCAAGAGGGGGGATACATTCCAGAAAGGTAAATTGTGGGGTCTAGAGGGCATTATGGAAGGGGGGAGAGAAAAAAGGTGAAGACAGAAAAAGAAAGATGCTAGTTTTCTTCTGTTTTGGATTCTAACATCAGGAAAGGTTTACATGTACAGTGCCTTGCGAAAGTATTCGGCCCCCTTGAACTTTTCAACCTTTTGCCACATTTCAGGCTTCAAACATAAAGATATAAATTTT